TCTTCACCGTCAACTTGTTGATGGCTCTATAGTCGATGCACATCCGCAACGACCCTTCCTTCTTCTTTTGGAACAGCACCGGTGCTCCAAAAGGTGACTTCGATGGCCGCATGTAGCCTGCGTCCACCAAGTCCTTGAGTTGCCTCCGCAATTCTTCTAACTCCGGTGGCGACATGCGGTATGGTGCTCGCGAAGGGGGTTTCGCTCCTGGCTCCAACTCGATCTTGTGGTCCACCTCTCTTCTTGGTGGCAGCTTCTTGGGCAACTCCGATGGCATCACATCATCGAACTCTTCGAGGACACCTTCGATGATGGGAGTTGTGATTCCCGTTGAGCCTCCTTCTTCCTCCACTTTCAAGGACACAAGAAAGGTTGGTTCATTCTTCTTGAACCCCTTCACCACTTGCATGGCCGATAGAGCACTATGGGGACCATCTTCTCTCAAGAGATGAACCGAATGGAACTCCCCTTCTTTCTCCAAGCACATCGTGTTGGAGTTGGGCTTCAAAAGCACTCCCTCCTTGTCGAGGAAGTGGATGCCGAGGATGACTGGGTGATCGTCCATGGTGACGACGGAAAAGTCGATGAGGCCTTCCCACCCGCCAAGCTTCATTGGTACGTTGTGAGCAACTCCATGGATCGGGATGGACTCTGAATTGATCCTCTTGAGCCTCCCTTGCCCCTTCTCGTAGGCAATACCCAGCCGGTTTGCCTCCTCGACGCGAAGAAAGTTGTCCGTGGCACCAGTATCCACCAAGGCTTTTGACTCGCCTTGCATGAATTGCGCCAGAACATAGCACCTCCCCCGCTTGCTCTCCTTGACGTCGGTCTTCACCGCGCCAAGCTTGCGGATTGAGCCAATCTTGGCCTCCGCCGCCTTGGGCTCCTCATCTTGAGCTTCCATGGCTGCCAATCTCGCCTTCCTTGGGCAATCTCGCACTCGATGTGGTCCGTCGCAAAGGAAGCAAGTCATGGGTTTTGGCTCGTACTTACCCCCTTTGCTCGAACCACCTTGGTGTTGTTGAGTGCGAGGACCCTCCTTGAAAGGCTTCTGCTGTTCTCCACCCTTGTTGGGCTTCGAACTCTTCTCTCTGCCGCTGCTCTCTTGTCGTTTGTACTCGACAAAAGACTCTGCCGTGGCCATGGCAGTTGCAAGGTCTTGCACCCCTCGACGTTGCATCTCCATCTTGGCCCATGGTTGCAGCCCATCAAGGAAGCCGTGCATGGCCTCCTTGTCCGTGATGTCCGGGATCTCTAGAAGCAGCTCCGAGAATTCTTTCACGTATTCTCGAACTCCACCCCTCTGGGTGAGTCTTCTCAACTTCGAACGGGCTTCAAACTCCACGTTCTCTGGGTAGAACTGCCTCTTGATTTCTTTCTTGAAATCTTCCCACGTTACCATCACACAAGTACCTCTCTCGACGTCCGCTTCACGTCGCCTCCACCACACCATGGCAACATCAACCAAGTAAAGTGGAGCGGTACGAATCTTTACCTCATCCTCTTGGATGCCGGACGCCTTGAAGTACTGCTCAAGACTCCAAAGGAAGTTCTCTAACTCCCTCGCATTCCGTGAACCTCCGAAGCTCTTCGGTCTTGGAATATCAGCACGTGGGACGGATTGCACCGTGGCTGGTCCGCTAGCCATGGCTCTCTTCACGAGAGTGACCTCACTCTTGAGATCTGCAATCTCCTCCTTCACGCCGACCAGCTCAGCCTGGACATGCTCTTTGACAACTTCAATGGCGTTGTTCAAGGATGTGTTGATGGTGTTGTTGATGAGGGCCACAAGCTCTTCTCGTAAGCCATCATTACCAACCTCCAAGCTCGACAAACGAGCATTCATACCTTGAAAATCGCTTTCGACTTGGGTGAAGTTTGCTCCCAAATCCTCGATGGCACTGATGTCTTCTGCCAACTTCACCTCCATTCTAGAGACACGCCTCTCTAGAGACGTCATGGGATCACGAGTGCTTGACTTCTCACCCTTTGGTTTGGTATTCTTCACGGCATCCCTTCCACGGTGCTTCTCATCGTCGTGGACTTCTGATCCCGACATTTTTGGTGAGGTTCTTCCTTTCCTTCTGGCTCTAGGTTCAACTTTGCTAGCACAAAGCCGAACCAGGCTCTGATACCACTTGTCACGACCTTACTCTCGATCGTGCGGCCCTAGCTCTCAATTCCGTTAGAGCGCTAGGCAGCCTTTCTCTCAACTCACTTGAAAGCAAAGAACAAGAACAAAGACAAAGGAAGTGGGAGAACTCTCTAGTGTGTATTACTCTCAAAAATGATGGAATGAGTACAAATGAGGGAGATGGCTCCTTATATAGGCCTCTCCACATACAAGGCATCAATGCCCCTCATTAAGTCCCTCTACTACATCAATACACCCCATTAAGCCCCCCCCCCCCCCCCCCCCCATTATGCACTCTATCAATGTCACCATTATGTGACTCATAAGTGCACTATAAAGCTCTACATTATGGTGGAGAATCCTAGGAGCATCTCTATGCTACTAGTCTTCCATGCATGCCACATGTGCTGCTGCCATGTTGTCACCTTGTTGGCGCCATGTCATCTGCCACATGTGACAGTTCCCGCTGTCGCTTGTCTGCCTGCTGCCTGCTGCCTGCTGCTTGGTGATTTTTATTTTTATTTTAAATTTTTATTATTACCTCTTATGATTATCTTAGTGCAACGGTGGAGATGACTAAGACGATTCGTGGCAGTAACTACTGCCTACTGCATGTATAGCCTCTAGTCAGCTTATCAATCGGGGAGTGGATTCTATTTTGTTCGAATATTATTATTATGTTATTATAGCTCATCTTCTGATCAAGTCTATCCAGTTTTTCCTAAAGAAAGCACCCGCACCTCCAAATGGCGGTGGGGCGAGGGATGCTTGTCTTTGGACGCGTGGTCGTGGAATCCACACGTGGATCTTCTTTATCTCAGTTATCGGGTTGGGTTGCAGCCTGTCTACTGCCGGACTGCCGGTTGGTTTTTATTTTTTATTATTCATATTTTTATTCTTTATGGTTAATGCTAATTTTATTGACAATTGAGCTATGTCTTTGGCGGCTATCTATTTTCTTTTTGCCTTCTATTGATGCATTTTGCAGGGAATGGTTGTTCTGCTTTTTATATCGGCAATGATGATATTTCCTCAGCTTCTTTGGCTTTGGCGCGTGTTGTGTACTCGCTTGTATCCATTGTTGTATTTCTTAGGATACCGACAAGACTGTCCATTCAGTGGCTAAAAAAGCTCTTTTATCGGCGGATTGATTAGTTATCGACCGCTGCATTTAATTATTTTATTTTTTACATATTTGTAAGCACATTGGATTGTATACCTACATATGACAGTATACACCTATCTATGACAAAAAAAAAAAAACATTTCTTCCTGAGAAGGACTCGTGCCGCAAGTCTTCCTCGTCTTACCGGCTACAGGTACCAAATCTCTTTATTTATGTTGAAATTGAAACTGGCATTGAAATTGAAAATGGTTTAGCTCTGAAAAGCCTGTTTCTTCGTGATTGGCATTATTTTTCGTGATTGGCATGTTTCTTCGTGATTGCCATTATTTTTTCTCGATTGGATATTTGTGAAGTTGAACCCTAATTTTGGTTGCGCCTTCTGCTTCATCGCGTACCTTTGTTGGATTGATTTTTTGGATTCATATATATGCTTCCTCTTCTGCTATGTTCCGTCGGTTTGATCCTCTTCTATGATGGCTTCTTAGATCTTGAGGAATCTTTGTTGTGATCAAAGATGGGAAAACATTGTTTGTGGGCTTTGTGAATTGGCTTCTCTGATCTCTAACAATTTCGTTCACGTCTTTATATTTTTCCTCTGTAGTTTACGTTTTGCTTCTTTTTCCGCTGCTAGCTAATAGCAACTACGCCTTAGATAACTCGTCATGAGACCTAATTTTGTTTTATAGGTATGCACATGAACATCTTTAGTCTGGAAGAGAGGGATGGAGACGAGTTTGAAAGGGAGCAACGCAATTTAGAGGTATTTGATTTTTTTTTTTTTATATCAGAGAGTTAGGATACTCTACTTCGTAAACAATAATGTATGATGAGAATATTTGACATTTTTAAAATCAATAATGTTGGGTAATGATGATACATTAAGTATGACTATTTTAGTTATTTAAACATTTAGCTTATATATTCTTTGTTTGATGTGAATGTGGATGATTTATTGCCTTTTTATGTAGGAATGATTTATTGTCTCGAAAAATAGTGTTTACAGGACGTTTCGTTGTCTCCAATTCTAATGTATATGTGAATTGTGATGCCTCATTGTCTCTCAAAAGAACATTTATGAGACAACTTGTTGTCTCCACAAATGATTGTTACGAGATAACTTGTTGTCTCCTACAATCTACATCGAGAACAACATGTCATCTCGAAAAATGTTCTTAGAGGATGATGTTAAAAACAAAGTTTCTAACGGGGTTTGGATTGGGTGATATTTGAGAATTTAGGGATAGAGAAGATAGAATTAGGGATTTGGGAAAAGAATTGGGGAAGAGTAGAAGAGAATTGTCGGTGGTCGGATTAGGGAGAGAAGAGAAGTTGTAAGAATTTGGGAGAGATTAGGGTTGAGGGATTTTCTTAATATTTTTCTTCATTGATTCCGAATGTCCAAAGTACATATTTATATGACTTAAGAGAAACCCCTAACAATAAACCTAATTCGACCAAAAGACTACTAAGCATAATAATAATTACCCTAATAATAATTATAATATTAAAGTTAGAAACCCCAAAGGAATCGGTTTCTAACATATCATCCCCCTTGAGACCAACCTTGTCCTCAGGGTTGCAGCTAGCTTCACACTCGTTCCACACCTTTGTTGATGTTTTCTTTCGCTTCCTCTTCTTCCAGTTCCGATCAAGCTCACAAGTGACTCCATCATTAGTAGTTCCAACTTTCATCGATCCTCAATCCACCACACACCTCATAACATAATAACGACCATGACCCTATAAGTCCATATCCCTCATTTCAAACTTCATCAAATGACTATGTCCTTTTGTTGCTCCGCAGACATCTTGTAGCATAGGATCCATCATCTTCCCTTCGCCAAAAACGCTGATCATCTTGCTGCCAGTACCCACTTCCAACTCCCATTCTTGTGCTTTTACCACAAGAGTGGGGTTAAAACCCCTCGAATTACCCTCACCGGCCTGCAATCCGAACAGGAGTTGTGCATTATTTGGGCTAACTTCAAACAAGACTAAGATTTTTCCAGAAACCCTAATTACCGTAGAAACAATTCCCCAAGCAAACCCACCATACACGTGCTTCCCTTCTATCTCATTATTGTGACTTCCCAACTTGCCACCTGTAAACCACTTCTCCTCATACACCACTTCTCTTGCTTCATTCCTTTGCTGCTTCCATTTTTCATTCTTTTCAATTTCCCATCGCACCCAATGAAGTAAGGAATCAAGAATCAATACCGTCTTACCTTCTAAATCAGTAGTCACAAGTATTTTCCTTCTCATTCCCATGACAACGACATTTCCATCTTCGCCCCCATGAATACCTTGAACTTGGTCCTTGCCGACCACCATCATCTCTGCGCACTCTCCACACAAGAACGAGATGGAATTAGCTCGTCCAATAGAGGACACATAACCGGGCCACTCTGCCGCATCTCCCACAATATTCTTTCCATCCCCATGCCTCTTCGGAGACTTCCTTCTAAATTTCCAACTCCCAGCGGTGGCCAGCTCCTCTTGAATTTCAACATCACCTAACAAAAAACCTCCACAAGGTTCGGCCATAATGGACCATTTTTCTTTCCAATTCCTCTGAGTTTCTTCCTTGCCCATGGATACTCTGCTTCTAACAAGAATTGAACAGAGGATGAAAACTTCTTTCAATTCCTCCCTATTAATCACCTTTTCCGTGTGCCTCTATGGGAATACAACAATCCCACCCACCAAAGTTGCTCCTTGACTAACAAACTAAACTCTTCCTTTCAACATCATGTCAGCGGTGTCAATGCTGGACAAGGGAGTTCCAATCTCAACAACAAAAGTTACCTTGATGTTTGCAGCGGCAAGGATGGCCATCATAGCATGGGCGGTCGTCAGCGGGGCAAAAATTGTGGAAGCCCGTGGCACGACGGCTGTTGGGGATAGCAGTCTAGCCGTTGTGACCAGGTCATCGACAGGTACTCTTCCTCCATCGACGCGACTTTTAACTCTGTCCTCCTCTACAGAGCTTTCACCAACTTCGAGGATTGAACTAACAAGAACTATCCTCGAGTTGATTACCTCGTTTCTTTTCTTCCGAAACTTCCAAGTTGATGAGATCCCCCCATCATCTGAGCCTCTATGGTTGGTAGGGACCTCAAGCAAAGATCTGAAGGTAGCTGTTGGTTGTCGCAGACCAGGAGTCTCGACCATCGTCGCAACAGCTTCTATCGGTGCGGCTGAAACCTTACTCCTTTCCTTGACATTTGAAGTGAACCTTGTTGTTGCCGCAAACACAGGTTCATCCGCAGAGGAATAGGATCCTTCTCGTGGTCTACGTTGTTGGTTAAAACTTGATAGCTTCTCTTGAGCCGCCGCGTAGACGGCCTGGTGCATGGTGGAAGGGCCGCTTGTGGCGTGGTCTTTTCCTCCATTTGCACCTCGTCAGTCCCGCCTAGTCGCGGTTGTGCCGCCTCCTCCTCTCCTTGTGATGATGTGGCATGCTCCCCCATCGCGCGACCCTCCTTGGTCTCCTCTACTTCGTCATCTACCGCGACACTCGCCGCAGACGGCTGCTTGTCGGCCCCGCCTGCCTCTGTGGTTGGCGGCTGCCTCGCCTTCGCGTCGTCACCCCCAGCCTTCACCTCTGCCTTCCCACGACGCAATGCGTAGACCTTTCAGTACTCCACGATCTGCCATAGTTTTTCTTGCTATTGAGCCCACGTCAGCTCTGATATGTCGGTTGAACTCATGATATCTAATTCGGTAGGAAGCTGTCCCTGATAGAGTTGTGACAAACTCGACTTTCGGAACCAGGCTCTGATACTAGATGTTAGAAACAAAGTTTCTAACGGAATTTGGATTGGGCAATATTTGAGAATTTAGGGATTGAGAAGACAGAATTAGGGATTTGGGAAAAGAATTGGGGAAGAATAGAAGAGAATGGCCAGCGACCGGATTAGGGAGATAAGAGAAGTTGAGAGGATTTGGGAGAGATTAGGGTTTAGGGATTTTCTTAATATTTTTCTTCATTGATTTCGAATGAAAACCCAAAGTACATATTTATATGACTTAAGAGAAAATCCTAACAATAAACCTAATTCGACCAAAAGACTACTAACCATAATAATAATTACCGTAATAATAATTATAATAATAAAGTTAGAAACCCCAAAGCAACTCGACCACAATCAAGGGGAATATCTTATTGATACACTGTTCGCTCGAATGCTGGAGATCCACCAACAAATAAGGACAAAATTCAAGAGCAACAACTCAATGAACCAAAAAGAGTTTTTCTATTCAACATCCATCTCAATAGTCTAATAAAATTCGTGACTTGCAACCCTTTAAATAGGTCCGGAAAATAAACCTAATGAAAACACCAAAAAAGAAAAGAATTCTTAACGAAAAAGGTAACAAAAATCAGCAGGACCCGAAACCCGGTCTAAATACTCGATCGGGTATTTTGTTTCACTGGCCGGGGAAACTTCCTGGACCCAAAATTTGGTCTCCTCCCTTGAGTCCCCGGTCGGGCAATTGTCAATTTCTGGGCAGGCTTCTATGCTGGACGAACTCACATCACTTTGTGATGCGGATCGTTTTGGCCCGAGATCACGGTCCCCGCCTTGAGTTTGCAGTCGTGAACTAGGACCTTGATTTTAGCTCGACCTGGGTTTAAAAGGGGGGCTTGAGCTTAGGGAAAAGGAAGATGATACATTGAGTGAGAGAACCTTCTTCTTCAAAATTCTGGAGAGAGAAAGTGACGAGCAAGAAGAGAGAAGAAGCTAGGGTTTCATTCCAATGCAAAGATTTGGGAAAATCTTCCCCAAAGAAAGATACCTTCTACACAAGGAATGATTCAAGCATGTCAATGATGGGTTTTCTTCTTTCTCCTTGTGTTTTCCCTCTCCTAGCATGAAGTAGTTTCCCTTTTCACTTGGGTATTTGTGAACCCTAACTTCTACCATGTAATTGATTGTATAGAATGATTGTCTATGCATGGGTGTATTATAATACGAATTTGAAGGTATTTTCATGGAAAATTGTGTTGTGTGTTTGCCTATCAATCTATTTGCCATTCTAACATAGGTAGAGACTTGTAAAACTGGGGTTTCTTTGGGCAAATCAAGTCTCCTATTTAGGTTAATGTAGGTATCCCTCCTTGTTTGTGTTGGCACCTAGGTTGATTGTGTTTTGGCCGTCCGAATTCCAATTCGAGAGTGAAGGTTTGTTAGTCCTTAGTCGATTAGGCCAAGAGAGCCAGTAGCTTAATCCAAGTTTCTTGGCCTATAGACCGAGAGAGTGATGTTCCATCACTAGCTACACTTTCCATATGGTTCTCAATCACCTCCACCATACATTTTCAGTCATTCCGACAAGTCATGGTAGCGAGCTAGGGGTAGCTACACCCGGGTGAATCGTTCTCATTTGAGAGTCAAAACCAATTACTTTTACAACCGCTTTAATAGTAGATCATAGTTTTAAATTAAATAATCAATCGCTAGATAATATTTCAAACAATCGAAGTAGAGATACACGAACCCGTCTGGGTATTAAACATGCTTGCCATATATTGTATCCAATTAAGGTTTATAGTTGGATCCTAATTGGGATTTTTATTGTGATATTTGGTACGAGTCAAGTCCACTTTCCCATTTATGTTTTCCACCGTCATGGACCTCTTTTCTCACATTCTTTAAGAAATCAAAGTTCTTGACCTAATCTCAGAATTATGTATTGATGAAAGGAATCGAAGGGGGGAAGTGACTCATCATATGCAGATGATGCAATTATCTTATGCAGTGTCATGGAAAAAGATCTCTTAGACGTGTCTTCTGCTTTAATCTGCTTCCAGAGTATAATGGGATTGAAGATAAATTTAGATAAGAGCAGACTGTATCCTGTTTGGAGAGGTTGAAGAGCTTAATAGGAAGGCTGAGTTGGTAAGATGCGACTGAGAATTTTTAACAACTATCTATCTCGGCTTGCCTTTGGATGATAGACCAACATCTAACACGATTAGGAAATCGATAGTCCTTAAGTTTCACAGGAGATTCGAAGGTTGAAAGGGAACATATCTCTCGATGAGTGGTAGGATTGTTCTCAAGTTGGCGAGCCAACCTCTCTACATGTCCTCGCTATTTTGAATGTCAAAGTCAACAATAAGGGAGATTGAATTAAGTGTAGTGTGAATTCATCTGGTCGGGCAAGTATGAGCAGTAGAAGATTCATTCAGTCGCGTGGAATAAATGCAATACTCCAAGGGAGATGGGAGGGATGGGAATCCATGATTTGGATTGCAGAAACCAAGCACTCCGTTGCAAATGGTTGTGGCATTATAATTTGGTAGGGAGGCTTGGCGGCGGAAATTGATTGCCATCAAATTTTCCAACTCCAATTCAGATTGGTTACATCCAATGCAGTGAGATTTTGATCGTAAATCGTAGAATTTTAGAATTTTACTTAGTGATTTCGATCCCTATTTTAATAAAAAAATCGGTGGACCTTAAAATCGTTCAAAATCGGAATTAAAATCGTTAAAATCGTAAAATCGTACCAAAAATTAAGATTTTGATACTATGTGAACAAAATAGGCAGTTTGAGCCGATTCAAAAGAAGCATAACCGTTTCGGTGGAAAGGGAAATCACGGGATCTTCTCAGATATTTTTCCTATTAAAAGAATATTTGAAAAGAAAAAAAAAACCTATTTAGGGTTCGGTCAACCACTTTCCTTCCCCTTTTTAACTCATCAGTAAAATAGTTGTCATAATATTGTAAGTACGAAAGAATTAACAACATTATTAACAAATTAATTGATTAATGAATATATCTGTACCAAACCAATGACATTAAAATTCTTATTGGAGTTTCCCCTAAAAAAAATCTTATTGGAGTTCACTTATTCTTAGTTTTAAATCATGCTTAGTAGACGATGTCAGAATACTACTTTGAGTTAAACTACATAGAAACAAAATAAAAAAACAAGAGTCAAACCCTATGAGCTCTATCCCTTCCTCATAAATTATTTTGAGTTACGCATTACATAACATTTAAAATGATGATTTTGGAACATTAATCTTGAAAATTATCACTTTAAATGTTATATGTCTTTGTGTTAATAATGATTTACCTTATTAATATTTTTATATGTTAATTTCTATGTGGTACTTAAAATCCTACGATTCTACAATTTCAATTTTACCCCAGTTTACGATCTTAAATAAAATCCCGATTTTAACTGCTTTGATTACCTTGTATTTAAGAGGACACAATATAATGGATGGAGCCCATGGGTAAACTAAGGAAGTTGAAGGTTAATCTCTAGAATTTATCGCACGTTGAAGCCAGTAGTCCATGGAATTTGTTCTGGTATGATAGATCGATCAAAGGTGAGTCTTGCTGATGCTTTTCACAGGGTGCTTGCAGTTGCCACTTCCTCGAATAACTGAGTTATCGACAAATTCCGATTCAATGATGAGAGGGTTACCTGAGAAATTGATATGAGATTTTCATTAATCAGAGAGAGAGAGAGAGAGATTAGTTTGGCAACCCCAGTGGCCAACCCACTGCGGGCTTCATCATGAAGTTGTTGTATGAAGCTCGTCTGTTTGAGAAGTTTCCATACTCAATTGCATTCCTCTTCAAGGTTGTTTGGGAGCAAGTCATACCCCGAAAATATGTTTTTTCATATGGACGGTGTACCAGAAGCGGTCCTTATACAAGACGTCCTTAAAATGAAGTGTTTAATGTCATAAACCAGTCAGTCTCAATAACTCAAGTTGTTGAGAGAAAATTATGCGGGATTTTATACTGCTCTCTTTCATTTAATGCTCCTCAACAAGTGTGAACTTTGCCGTTTTGCGGAGGAGCGCACCGATCACATATTCCTCTGCTGCAATTTTGTAAAGCTAGTGTGGGACATTATCGAAAATTTGTCATGATTGAGGTGTTAAAAGTATTAGATAGTAGTAGGTAGTTAATTGTAATTAGTCCTTTAATTATTATTAATTACTACTATATCGTGAGAGAGGGTTGGCTGGCTAGGGTATATATTGGTTGTGATAGCCGGCTGTTGACCTAAGGACTCTTGGCTAATACGATCGACTCTGAGAGGTTGCTCCTCTCCGTGGATTAGTCTCAATGATACTCGTTGAGGATACCACGTTAATTCTGTGTTTGCGTTCTCTTTATGATTAAGTTTGACATGGTATCAGAGCCTCCTCGTCGATCTCAGGTTTTATTCTTGTGATTCTGGTATTCCTGCGGTCTGTTGCTTTCTTGATTCAGAACTGTTCAGAGGTGTTTTTCTGGTTTCGGTGGTGCTTTGCTGGTGGTGTTTATTCGGGTTCCTGGTTCTGGATATTTCGGTGCTGCCTTTTGATTCTCAGCGGCATATATATCTGGTGGTGTGCTTCTCTTCTAGTTCTCGGCGGCATATCTATCTAGTTCTTGGTGGTATTATATTGGTTTGTGGGTTTGCCAGCTTCCTGGTCCTGCAAGGCTTTCGTGTGGTTCTTGGATTCTTGCTTGTGCTAGCTGGGGTTTTCTTGGTCTCTAGTCAGTTTTGTTGTCTTCCTTGGTTGTTTATTGTCTGCGGTCCAACTGGGTTTCCTTTTGCTTCCTTGTGTGCGAGGGTAAGGCTTGGCGGAGAACTCCAAAATGGATACCTTTACTGTTCGGTTCGATGGTAAAAATTTCGCCTTGTGGGAATTCCAATTCCGACTATTCGTTCAAGGGCGTCGACTGTCTGCAATTCTTGATGGGACTGCTGCTGAGCCTGGTGAGACTGCTACTGCAAAGGTGAAGGAAGATTGGGCAGTTAATAATGCCCAAGTTATGGGATGGATCCTGGGATCGGTTGATCCCTCAATTGCTCTTAGTTTACGCAGCTTCACCACTGCTCACGCCATGTGGAGTCATCTGACGGCTTTTCATTCTCAATCCAGTGCTTCTCGAAAGTTTGATGTGGAGCTGGATATTGCTCGGTTACATCAGGGGGACATGGATATTCTCTCCTACTATCAAGAGGCTGTTACTTTGTGGACCGAACATGATATGTTAACTATGTCATTGATTTCTGCTGCTGCATCTGCAGAGGTTCAACAGGAACGTACAAGCTCTCGTCTTATGCATTTTTTGATGAAATTACGTCCTGAATTTGAGAGTATTCGTTCATCTTTGCTTCACCGCAATGTGACCTAGCTAGAAGATGTATTGAGTGAGTTGATCAGGGAGGAAACACGTCTCCGCAGTCAGGCTAAACTTGACATCCATCAAGCTGACTCTTCGTCGTCGGCATTTGCGGTTTCTACAGTGTCTGGGAGGAAGGAAGTGTCCCCTGTCGGCTCGGCTGCCTTTGCTGTTACCACTGAGCGGCCTCGCTTTCTTCGGTCTGCTAGTGGGGACGTTATATGCTACTATTGTCGGGAACCTGGGCATGTACAGCTTCATTGTCCGAAGCGCAATATATGCAATTATTGTAAACAGTCCGGGCATAAAATTGGTACATGTCCAGTTCTTGCACAGCGGGGACGTGGAGCTCGGCCGTCTGGGTCGAGTTCAAGTGCGTATAGGGGGCATCGGTCCACTACTGCATCGAGACCGACCTTTGCTACTACTCTAGTGCCTTCTGATTCTTCTCTTCCGCCTGTGACGGGCATCTCTCAGGAGGCAATCCGGGACATGGTGCAAGCAGCGCTCAAAGAAGCCCTTCCTTCGGCTCTCGGTTGCGTCTTCTCGACTGGTAGGCTTCCTAATCCAACCTCTTTTTGGCATCTTGATTCAGCAGCGTTTAATCATATGACAGGGTCGGGTTCCTCTTTTAGTTCATTTCGGCCGCACTCTTCTGTTAAGTTACAAGTGGCCAATGGAAATTGTTTGCTAGCTCACGGGACAGGGATGGTACAACAAAAAGGGTTATGTTTATCGAAAACTTTATATGTTCCCCAACTTGTTCCTAATCTAGCGTCAGTGGGTCAGCTAACAGAGGACGGTTGTCGGATTATCTTTGATGAGACTGGCTGTACTGTGCAGGACAAGATCACGGGGATGGTGATAGGGCGCGGGACTAAGGTTGGGCGTGTCTATACTTTGGATAGCTACTCTCGTGATGCTTGTGGTGATGACGAGGGAGTTACTAGAGAATCTGCAGGAGAGGTGGTTCGAGGATCATCTCAAAGTTCTAGAAGTTTATATTTGTTTGGTTATTCGGTTAATTCAGTTAAGTTGTCAAACTGGGAATTGTGGCACCGTTGGCTTGGCCACCCTCATTCTGCTCGTTTGAAAGAGATGTTTAAGAATAAGTTGTTATCTGGTAGTTCAGCCTCTGACTCTCATGATTGTGTTCACTGTATTGAGGCCAAACTATCTCAACAATCTTTTAGCTTGAGCACTACCATTTATTCAGAACCATTTGATCTCGTTCATACTGATTTATGGGGTCCTGCTTCTGTGACATCTCGTGTTGGGTTTCGCTATTTTGTGCTTTTCATTGACCATGCCACCAGGTACACCTGGGTGTACTTCCTCCGTCAAAAGTCGGACTTAATGCAGGTGGCTAAGGAATTTTTGCAAATGGTTCATACGCAGTTCGGCAAACAGGTAAAGGTTCTGCGATCAGACCCTGGGGGTGAGTTCTCCTCTGGGCAGCTTCAGGAAGTGTTTAAAGAACGCGGAATTTTGCCTCAACAGTCTTGTCCTGGTGTGTCTCAACAAAATGGGTTGGTTGAGCGTAAACATCGCCATGTCTTAGAACTAACTCGTGCTCTCCTGTTCCAAGCATCGGTTCCCGCTCGTTTTTGGGTTGAAGCGGTACATACAATAGTTTACTTGATTAACCGACAACTCACTCCTGTTCTATCTCACCGTAGCCCGTACGAGGCACTTCATGGCAAGTTGCCTAACTATGATTGGTTAAGAGTCTTTGGATGCGTTTGTTACGTACTCCTACCTCGTCGTGAGCGCTCAAAGTTGGACCCCAAAGCAGTTAAATGCATGTTTGTTGGATATAGTGAAAAGCACAAAGGGTACGTGTGCTATGATGTCTCTAATCGTCGCATCAGAATATCTTGTCACGTGGCTTTCCTGGAGTACTTACCGTACTATGGCGGCACGAAAGATGACCAGGATCCACAACTAAACTTCCTTCGGCTGCCTAATCTAAATCCAAGTACCTCTCCTGTGGAACCAGAAGATTCGGACCCACCTTCTCCCTCTCAAGACGTGGCTTCCCTCCATAGTGGAATTAATATGAGTAATTCAGAGGCTAGTTCCCCTCAGCAGTCCGCCACTCAACCATTCAATTCCACTTCAGTGGAATCCTCTCCGCGTTCTACCTCCTTCTCCTCGGCAGGAGAGAATTCTGCCTCTTCCCTTCAGCACTTGGTGGACAATGAAGTCTCTCCTCCACTTCGGCGCTCCACCAGGGTCACTCGAGGCCAACCGCCCGTTCGTATGACGGATTTTGTTGCCTTCTCCACGTCTCACATTCCGATTCCAACTACATATAAACAAGCACGAGGTAATCCCCATTGGGATAATGCTATGAATGTTGAGATTGATGCTCTTGAGGCAAATCATACGTGGGATGTGGTGGATCGTCGTCCGGAGTATCCAGTTATTGGATCCAAATGGGTATATGATATTAAGCTGCTTCCTGATGGTTCTCTGGAACGTTACAAGGCAAGAGTGGTTGCTCAAGGATTCAGACAAGAATTCGGAATCGACTATGAGGAGACCTTTGCTCCTTTAGCAAAGATGCAGACTGTACGAACCTTACTTGCTATTGCTGCTATGAAGGGGTGGCAGCTAAAACAGTTGGACGTCAAGAATGCATTTCTCCATGGCGATTTAAAGGAGACAATTTATATGGAGTGTCCTCCAGGGTACTCAAAGGGTGACAAGTCCAAGGTTTGCTTACTACGTCGGTCACTCTATGGTTTGAAACAGACGCCTCGGGCGTGGTTTGAGAAATTTCATGAAACGATCTCCTTGGCTGGATTTGTTCAAAGTGACAATGATCCTTCCTTGTTCTTGCGTCAGACCACTCGGGGACTAACTGTTCTTCTTATCTACGTTGATGATATGGTGGTGAGTGGTGATGATATTCAGGGAATTCATGAGTTAATTCAGACACTGCGTTCGGCATTCAACTTAAAGGAGCTTGGTGATTTATCTTATTTTCTGGTATTGGAAGTTCACCGATCTCCGGATGGTATTTTGGTTGGCCAGCGGAAATATATTTTGGACCTTCTTGAGACAGCACAGATGGATACTTGTGACCCATGTTCTACACCGATGGAACAGAACCTGAAGTTACGGCAGAGTGATGGTGATCTTATTAGTGATGGCTCCCATTATCGTAGCCTAGTAGGGAGCTTAATTTATTTGACTCATACTCGTCCGGATATTTCTTATGCAGTGCAGGTGGTCAGTCAGTTCATGGCCGCACCCAGGACATCTCATATGATAGCAGTTCGGCGCATTCTGCGCTATTTGAGTGGCACACAGGATGTGGGGTTATACTTTCCAGCAACAGGCGATGCAGTGATCGAAGCATATGCTGATGCAGACTACGCAGGCTGTTTAGATACTCATCGTTCTACTTCTGGATGGTGTGTCAAGATTGGCTCATCCTTTGTGTCTTGGAGATGCAAGAAGCAGGAAAGAGTGTCGAAGTCGTCAACAGAAGCTGAGTATCGCTCGATGTCTGAAGTCACCTCAGAATTGGTTTGGCTGCGTAGATTGGTGGCAGAACTCGGACTTGCATGTACTTTACCCATGCGCTTGTATGCTGATAATACTAGTGCCATCCGGATTGCTACGAATCCGGTCTTCCATGATCGCACAAAGCACATTGAAGTCCATGTTTATTATATTCGTCAGCTGGTAACTGCATGAGAGATAGCGCTGTCTTACGTCATTTGTTTCTGGCATACAAATTGATGTTGCGTAAGCATCATCAATTTGAGGGAGGGTGTTAAAAGTATTAGATAGTAGTAGGTAGTTAATTGTAATTAGTCCTTTAATTATTATTAATTACTACTACATCGTGAGAGAGGGTTGGCTGGCTAGGGTATATATTGGTTGTGATAGCCGGCTGTTGACCTAATGACTCTTGGCTAATACGATCGACTCTGAGAGGTTGCTCCTCTCCGTGGATTAGTCTCAACGATACTCGTTGAGGATACCACGTTAATTCTGTGTTTGCGTTCTCTTTATGATTAAGTTTGACATGAGGAGCAGCCTAAAGTAGGATATCTTGACTATGATTGCACAGTGACCGTGTCCAAATCCGCAAGACGACACTGGGGTTCTATAGTACTTCATGCACTTTGTAAGAGCACTTGGAAGGAATGAAACTTGAGGATCTTTGAGGATAAATTTTCCTCGACTCAAGTTGTTTGCTATAGAATTTGCTACCAAATTACATAGTGGTTAGTTAGTGTCAGGAATGTTGATCGTGGGATTGCTGGGGAATGGTCCAGGTGGTTAAAGCGCCACTTATTACCAGCCAAAAGAGCACTTCAATGATCTGGAAGGTGTAGATTTGAAAGGGTGGATTCCTGGTTTGCGGTTGGCTGGTTTGTGCATGTTTAGTGTGCTTACTATGCACTGCGGCCTACGTTTGCAGTTAATCATTTAATAGACACCTACTTTCATGTTTAACCTTTTTCCTCTGCTCTCCCTATCCCTCCCCTGCTTCCTTTGGTCTCCTCTTATTCTCATTTGGTATAGTGTCTGTGGCTGCAGCATGTGTGTGGGTGGTGGGAGGGAGCTTTTGTTCTTCCCATTTTGTTTGTGTTTTAGTATGTTAGTTTGTTCGTTTTTGCTATCAATTTCTTAGTGATTTCCAGCTTTGTACTCCCTTCATTTTTCTAAGACATTATCCATAAAAGAAAATCATAGAGTACAACATAAATATATTGAACTTATTTTTATTTACAAATACACGTCACATAATTGCATATGCAATTACGATAAATAACATAAATTTACAATACACAGAACAAAATCAACTCTATTCTTATTTGGTTCATCCAATAATTTTCACAATTATCTTTCAAATCATATATGAGCCATGGGGACAGGCAATGAGTGGGTTGGATGAGTTTTGGTCTCAAATTGACTCACCCGCTTATTGGTGGTTGATATAATTATGACCCGCAATCCATCCACCACCCACCCAACCGAATGTGAGTAGAAAATTTATCAATCCACAATCCATCCACATCAATCACCCACCAACTGCAATTCGGATTATTTACAGG